GTGAGTCAGTATTACAGGTATTAGTAATTCAAATGCCAACTCTTCTTTCTTGTCAAACTTGAAAACTAATTTGACATTGTTTTCACCTAACGCTTCACAAAAGATATGGCTTTTCGAATCCAGGCTAATTATTTCCTTGATCTTCTCAAATTCCTCCACGAACGCTATGTTGACAAACCCCTGTCCTGCCATTTTAAAATGTTTCACTAGACGTGAAATTCACTCACTTAGTAGTTAAATATCAATCATTCACTAGCTAAACTGGACTAATCAGTTCTAATTTAACGCAAAAATTATAAAAATCTTTACACAGCTAAGGTGAACGTGGGTTGTAGCGGATTGCCTATGGCAAGTTCTCCAAGTTTGGAAGGGCTTCCAGAAGTGTGACATGAAATATGCTTGGAAGTAAGCTGCAAACAGGGGGCTTAGTCATTATACTAAAAGTACCACTGATTGGTGGATGTGTGAGGGGTTTCTGCAAACAATATTCCACTTAGTCGCTAGATGAAGTATCTCGAATGCTCAATTCATTAACTTTGCAATACGCTGTAGCGGATCACTCCACTAATAGGCCTGGACTTAGGCGAAGTAATCTCTATGGTAATACCTCTTAGTTCCTCAAGGCTCCCAAAATTACCTAAGATACCGCAAAGCTATGAAGGAAGTAGACGTATGGCGCGAACTACGTCTACTGTGGGTGTGGATGTTACAGACAGGGGGCTGAGTCATCATTTTACGATGGTGGGTTTGCCAAACCATGCAGTTGGTTGGGTGTTCTCCACGCTCACGACCGCACTCACTCCCTACTCGACAAGTAGCACGACGCACCTTTGACCCTGTCTGAGTGTGCATGAAATTCCTTTGTTTAATGTCGGCGGCGTTGTGTGCTCTTCTTGGATTAAGTGGGAGTGTATTGGGAAATTCTTGGGAATAAAGTCCATATAACGTACATCACCCTAAGTTTATCTTTAACCTCAAGTTTTGTTCACTTTTCTCTATAACTTCTACTCTTTCAATGTCTTAATTTGGTGAAATTTGTTTAGTAGGCTGTTACTTCGTTCATAAGGATGATTGGGGATAAAATAATAAATAATTGTCGATTTAATGAATAGTTTAGTATGGTTCAAAGGTAAAGAGATTAATTATTAGGTTGGCAACTAAGGCGTTGCCGATTTCAAATAAGAAGGCAAATTCGGAATTTTTGTTTAAAAATATAACTTTATTCAATTAAATATTGGCCGTTCTTGTCGATGGCCTTTTTCCATCGTTCTGGCAGAGTAAAAATTCCCCCTTCGTAAAATGTCTGGTCTTTGCTATTAAAAAACTGAATTAGGTGTGATCCGACATCATCCGCGTTGTTACAAATTTTACCATTTAAAGAGTTTGGCATGGAACGAAACAAATGGTAATCCGAAGGCGCAAGGTCAGGGCTATATGGTGGGTGTGACAAAACAAAACAAAACATCCCAACCCAGTTCCAATAATTTTTGCCGAGTAACCAAAAATGTGTGGAAAACAACACCCTTCCGCCGATTTGATAATGCCGGCCGCTTATCTTCAATTGCATCCTTCAGTTTTTCGAGTTCTTCAACATACACATTTGAATTTATCGTTTGGTTCTGTGGCATGAGTTCAAAATACAAAATTCCTTTGTGATCCCCCCACCAGACTGACAGCATAATCTTTTTTGGTGAATCTCTGCTGCTTTTGATACTGTTTGGGCTGGTTGATCTTGCTTCACCCATGGTCTCTTGCGAGTAACATTGTTATAAACTATCCACTTTTCGTCGCCAGTAACTAGGTTCTTCAGAAATGGATCATTCTCATTGCGTTTCAGTAGCGAATCACAGATGCTAATCCGTTGCGTCAACTGAATTTCCTTTAACTGGTGAGGGATCCATAAATCAAGTTTCTTCACATAACCAAGGGTTTTTAATTTTTTTTTCAATGCATGCATGCGAGACATTGAGCTTCTCTGCAATATCTCGTGTTGTGCTGTGACGATTTGAATCGATAATGGCCTTGGTATGGGTTTCATCCACTTCGACTGGGCGGCCAGATCGTTGTGAATTTTTCAGTGAAAAATCACCGGAACGAAATCTTTCAAACCAATTTCGACACTGCCTTTCTTTTAAGGCTTCATCTCCATATACGGCACATAACTTCTTTTGTGCTTGCGATGGGTTCTTGCCTTTTCGGAAGTAATACAATAAAATGTGCCGGAGGTGCACGTCCTGTTCTTTCATTTTTAAATTATGATAAAAACAAAACTAAAGAACTAAACAAAAATTTTTTACTAATTAACCTAGAAGCCCATACAGTAAGAAAAAAATATAGGTTAGATGCTCTGGCCACGTTAACAAAACAAAAGAAAGTATAGAGTGAATTCGTCAACAAAAACGGCAATGACCTAGTTGCCAACCCAATATAATTGTTATGCGTTATTTTGAAGTTATATTTAATCCAGTAAAAAGGATTCATTTTTAGAATTTAGCAACATTTGGCATAAGTCATCATTTCATTAATATTAATTATCAGCTTGAGATTACCATAGGGGAATGAAGATTTAGGAGACTGACGTAAGTGGAGAGTTAGCAGCAGAGAAGCTGGGTTTGAAATATCTTCTATTTGAAGTCCTCTATAAGTTACTGCGGAGAGTACGATAAGCAGATTGATTAGTCATCTTGGGCATAAGTTTGTGCAATTATAAGTTTATTTTTTTCACTAGGTGTACGGAATGACTTTGTGAAACTGGTTTAGTATGACCAATAAATTGTCTGGACGAGTATTAACTCCTTGCCATTGAGGCTCGACGCGACAAACAGTTGACTAAGGTGAAGTTTCGCAATTTCGTGCCAGAATAGCTTTTGATGTACTATTCAGAGTCCCTATTTCAATTCTTGTATTTCACTAATATTCCAAAGAAATTCAATAATGAGCGGCCTTAAATAAGTACGTAGTTCATCGAAATTTCATTTTTCGAAAAAGATAAAAAGGATAGCTCAGATCGTAAAATTGAAATGTGACCGATCATATAAAAAAATTATTGGGAAAATTGAACAACGTTTCAAAGATTTACTTAATGCTCAAGTCAAATTGCTGAGAGCACAGAATTTCAAGCAACAACAAAATTCACAAATCGATTTACAATGCACAATTATTAAAACAAATAATTTAATAACTAAACCTAGTGGGAATTTCATTGCTTCGGCTTTTATTTTGCTCCAAAATCGAAGACGCAATTTGTGTTCCATGGAATTGTAATACAAAAAATCCCTTCCGTTGAGTAAATACTTGGACATCTTCGAGGTAGTTGTGCAAGAATAATAATGACGACGAACAAAGTTGCTGGAAACCACATTGCGTTAAACAGAAACTCATAGTTCAAGTGATTAGATTTGTTTAAGTGCTTCAAGCCTATCGCCAAACGTTAACGGAGCGTAATTATTGCTATTTTGAAATATAATCTGGTGTGAGTGATAGACTTACGACAAAAATGTCCATAAATTGGCAGTTGACTTCTCAATTTAAACTACCATGAGCCCAATGTATGCTATATTCCACCACTTCCATAGTACCCACCTCACTTTACCTTTTTATCTGTCTTTGTGTCTGTCTCTCCTCTACAACTGTGAATCACTCCTCTGTTCCTCCTCTCGATATTTTATGGTTTCAATGTTCCTTACCTCTATGAAGTCGGAAGTCAACCTCCGGTTTATAGACTTTTTGACCTATGAGTATACATTGCCCAGGGTGCATCCTAAAGGCGGACAATATAAATTGCCGATTTTCTTGAATGTGTTTTATTCGTGTTAATTGGCCCTGCTCTTGACATGTTCTAATATTTTGTACTTATAATTGGTGAGTTCACTTTGGTAATCTAAGCGTCAAGCAACTAAATGAGTTCAGGTTTTCAACTGACGCAAAACTCAACTCTGTCGAATATTAACTACTTTACTTAATTCACTTCTCTCTGAAAAGTTCGTCAATATAATATTTGTATTTCAATTAATAGTTGTTTCGATAATACTTTTCCAACATAGGGCATTTTAATCGATTTTATTTATTTCTAAACAAAATTTCCAAAGAGCAAAGTTTCCATCATTTACGATGATTTTAGTAATTTATTGCTAGCAGGCAATAATTTGTTAAAGTTCATTTTTAAACTAGAAGAGAAGGCATTGATCGATAGTTTAATTGATCAAATATTAAGTAAATTTGGACAGAACAAAATTAGATTAACGCCTAGATACAGTACCGATTTCTCATACTTCAGCTACTTCTTCTTGAAAGAAGAAGTCTCACCGTTGAAACAGAGATTTGCTCTATTATGAAAATTAATCTACTTACATGAAAGTGGATATGTGATGCGTTAGTTAATAATCGTATATATCGTACATATATCGAAATCCAGGTGTGTGCGATAGACTTACCTCCACGTGGTGCACCCTGGACAACGTATACTCATACGGCGAAAAGGTCTATTAACTGGCAGTTGACTTCTGACTTCAAAATACCATCACCTCACTTTATGTCATATTCGAATACTACCACAGTACTCACATCACCTTTTTTCTACCTTTGTGTCTGTCTCTTTTACATCTCTGAAACACTGTTCTGCTCCCCCCAACCAACTCGAATTTTTTTCCTTTTGATGTTCCTCCCCTCGGTGAAACCCGAAGTCAACTAAAGGGCTAATGATAACTGTCAAAACGCCTGCCATTTCATATAAATAAATATCGAAATCCACTAAATCAATACTCCATTAACTAACGAAAGAAATTTAAACCTTTTTGTTCAAGTGTACTGAAAATCATTGAGTAGACATTCATCATCAAGTAGGCATCCCTTTTATTGATTTTGCTAATACAGCTCAAACTACATTAAACATTTGCTCAGTTTTTTTAATAGAAATCAAACAAAATGATTAAATTTAATGATGACTATTTATTTGAATTCTCGGAAGGGGTAAGTGGCTTCTCATTCAAGTCATTAGAAGGATGATCTACAACAAAGTGGCGAGAGAAGAATTCGAACAATTGGAGTATTTGATGAACACTCATCTGAATGGCATATTCAGTTTAAGTGAGCTCAATGAAACCACGGTCGAGATTCGACTGTGCCTAGGCGATGCATCCGTGCCCTTTAGAGCAAACATACCTGTAGTATTGATTTTTGGCATTCTTATTTCTTTACTTGTTTTAATTTTTTTATAGAACGATTATCCTTACCTCCCCACTTTGTGGACATTAAATGGAAATTATGAAGTTTTTGAAGACAATAGAGCTTATACCTTCGCAAAACAATCTTTAATTGTAATAGATTCTTATTGTAAGTTGAAGAATGTTAAATTACCAGAGGATATAACTAACATTACTGGAAAATATTGCGTGAGCCGTGTAAGTCAACGATTTTGGTTTAAGAGTTTCTTAGCACTCGCGTTAGTGCGTTTTTGTAAAACATACAAATTTTTATTCATTTCCACCTTTTTACTTGTTTATTTTAAGTGGTTACTAAAGCAGAGGTAAGGATTGACGACATCTTAACTTTTCATTCTATTGTAATCTGAAATACCTTTCTTCCTACAAAATGACTTTTAATGTCTACTTCGTTTATATAAGAATATAAACAGCAAAATATTAACTATATTAGGCTTTATCCTACGCAGTCCGTTCATTTAAGAACTAACAGGTCAAAATTTTGTTCTTGCTAAATATATCAACAATTAGTTTTTCCTTTTTTGGCCACAGCATTTTCAGATATATTTTTATTTGTTAAAGTCAGAAAGAATAGACCAAGTTAGAATGGAGGCTCAGTTAGCCGACCTTCAAAATGACTTTGACGTTTATGTTGAGGAACATTACAAAGCCTTGATCAAATATGTGGAAAACAATATAAATTGGAATAAAATGATGGATGATGATCGATTAGAATTGTTCAACTCCTGTCTCACTTCACAAGCAAAAGTACTGGAAGAAAGACTGTCTCTCACCGTTCAAGGTTTTGGGCCTCACTAAGACGCTGACTGGTTATTCGAACAGTGCACGACTGTTTTGATTGAATTAAAATAATAATTTTATTCAATTCCCATCGAAATAGGAATTATCATTTAAATTTCCCCTGGACAATTTTTTATTTATACGAAGAAAATTCAACAGGTTTTCAGATAGCACAAACCTTTTATCCAACAGTGTACATCCCAGCGCTTCACGAGGAAACGAGGGTTTATGTTAAAGAAGAAATGGGGATCATGGGTGTTAGAGGAGCGTTGTTCGTCGGATAAACAGAACCGTCTGGTGAACTTCTTTTTAGCTTAAAGCTGCACCAACATTTTTCAAGTTATAGTTAAATCTTTATTTAGGGCATTGTTAGGATATCAAGTCGCTTTTATAATTTGAATAAATAGGGAAGTAAGATTATACACTCCAATACAGATTTAGGGATGGGAATCGAGCATATATATTTATAAATTTAGGCTATTAGTTGGGGTGGGGATTACGAATTCTCTGGGACTGGTTGCACAGTTGGCATTTCTTTGATAAAATTTTCCACTATAATTATCCATAATTGCATTTTTCTAATGTCAGTATTTTCACATTATTTTCAATGCAAAACGATATCCAACGTTTTTTACTACTTCAAAGCAGCCCGATTTTCAAATGCCAACGGAATACTTAAATATCTGATAATTAACATATCCTACTTTTAAAAAATAAGTAGAACTTAATTATTACATTACTTAAAATTTATTTAGTATAAGTGAGAAGAGTTAAATTTTCGAATGAACTATAGCTTCTTTTATATGATACTAAATAATATCGTAATAACATAAAAAGAGAAAATTTGAAGCTGTTAATCATTAACTGGCAAGCGTTGACTCTTTCGACTTCGTCGCTGCCGATGTTCATAAATGAATATTTATTTAATAAAAGAATACAAGAATATCATATTTCACAAAATCGGAAAATAAATCCAAATTCCAATGGCTTCTATTGTCCATTTCAAAATGTCGAACTTCGATGTGACAAAAATCAAGTTAAGCACTACTTTCAATGCTTGCTAAATTTATAACTGCGTCAAAATACACATTAAAGGAAATGAGATAACGTCGTATTTTAACATGTTTAAAAGTTGTTGCCATACTCACAAGTATATCTAAGACTCATTCGAGCCGCTCTTTCAGGTTCAGTTAGCTCTTACTCTCCTTCAATCTGTAATACCGAAAGTCATTTATGGGGTCATTCACACATTCAGGCATTCGAACACATAAGCGGTGGTCCATTTGTGCGACGTAGTAATCAACTCGCAAGCAGACAACTTCTTTCCCCTAAAATCTCCTTCATTCGATCTGTCGTTCAGTCGGTTGCTTGGGTCCTTTACCGGGTCAGCCAAATGGCTGTATGTTGCCGACACCTTAAAGGATTAGAGGATAGGTCTTCCACC